GTTGTCAGTCCGCCCCTGCCCCAGGCCATCACTGACCCACCACCAAAACAGTAATGCTGAACAATGTTACAGGCAGCATAATGTTCTCCATGTCTTCTCCAGACCCTTTCATGTCTGTCACATGTGCTCAGGGTGAACTTGCTCTCATCTGTGAAAAGCACAGGGTTCCAGTGGCGGACCTGCCAATTCTGGCGTTCAATGGCAAATGCCAATTGTGCTCTATGGTGCCGGGCAGTGAGCACAGGGCCCACTAGAGGACATCGGGCCCTCAGGCCACCCTCATGAAGTCTGTTTCTGATTGTTTGTGCAGAGACATTCACACCAGTGGCCTGCTGGAGGTAATTTTGTAGGGCTCTGGCAGTGCTCATCCTGTTCCTCCTTGCACAAAAGAGCAGATACCGGTCCTGCTGGTGGGTTAAGGACCTTCTACAGCCCTGCCCAGCTCTCCTAGAGTAACTGCCTGTCTCCTGGAATCTCCTCCATGCTCTTGAGACTGTGCTGGGAGACACAGCAAACCTTCTGGCAATGGCACATATTGATGTGCCATCCTGGAGGAGTTGGACTGCTTGTGCAACCTCTGTAGGGTCCAGGTATTGCCTCATGCTACCAGTAGTGACACTGACCCTAGCCAAATGCAAAACTAGTGAAAAATAGTCAGAAAAGATGAGTAGGGAAAAAAATGTCAGTGGCCTCCACCTGTAAAACCATTCCTGTTTTGGGGGTTGTCTCATTGTTGCCCATCTAATTTCATTAACACCAAAGGAGCTGAAACTGATTAACAACCCCCTCTGCTACTTAACTGACCAGATCAATATCCCAGGAGTTTAATTGACTTGATGCTATACTCTGATTAAAAAAGTGTTCCTTTAATTTTTGCAGTATATACAGTATGTGTGTGTATATATAAATCTTTTTTTTTGCACATTCACAAAAGGATACTGAATACTGGGGGGATCTGTTTATCTCATTATGATAAAAGGGTTACGGTATGAGGTTATATGATATTTGATTTGTGATGTCATATTGGATGAGCCTCACCGGTATTTGATTTTGATTCATTAGCAACAGTGGAGTGATTGCACAGTTTGGTGGCAGCTGCTTTCCTGATTCAATTTGATTTAATTTGACTTATTTACTAATAATAATTATTTATTTACTAATAGCGTGGGGGGGGGGGTTCTATTTTTTATTATGTGCCAACATTGCAGTGCACATTTCAAGATGTAATCATCAAATTATTTAATAGGTAAAAATCCCTTCTGAAACTAAACTTCTGAAAAAGAACACTTCAGCAAACTGATACAAATGTATTAATTATCATGTTGTGCAACCTATGAAAACAACAAGACTTGCCTTGTGACTGTAAAGGGTAACTTTACCTTTTCACAAAAAAATTAAAAGGTGAACAACCAGGGACGGACTCACCATTTGGAAACTCGGGCACTGCCAGAGGACCCGGGGTGAGTAGGGGCCCCATGAGATGCCCCTTTTTCATAGGCTTTTTTGAGTTTGGGCAAAGACACAGGGGCCCCATGATCCCCTATTGCCCGGGGGCCCCATGAGTTGTCAGTCCGCCCTTGTGAACAACAAATATCCTGGCCACCCCCTCTGGACCCCACAGCACAAAGTGGCTGTGATGTCCCCTGCTGCTGGTGTAGAGGTTTGTACACTGTACACATAATGCACAGCCCTAGAGTGAGTATCCACATAATACCTGCAATGGTAAGTGCTCATTGGTCAGTGCAGCTCTGTGACCATACTGACCAATAAGAAGTGCATTGGAAGCATCTTCTTACAGCAAAGTGACCCAGAAGAAAGAAGGGCTTCTAATTGGTCAGCATGGCCACGTGGTCACACAGACCGCTAAGCACTTGTCATTGTTAACATTATCAAGGATAAACGCTCCGTGGCTGTGTAATGTGGTGTATGGACTGCTACACTGGCAGCACGGGGCATCACAGCCGCTATGTGCAGTGGGGTCCTGGTGGCCAGGACTTGGATTTGGCTCACCTATTCAATTTTCTTGTTCTCAATGCATGAACAATGCTGACTGGCAAAATGATGCATTCCCAACTAACCCTCCTAAATTGGACAGGTTACACTAGTGTAGCTGGCATTCTGGATAACGGTAATTGCAAGAAAATCTGTCAATGCTAATCTTGAAGAAGTGGCTAAATGCACCATGAACCACATCCTTAGTGTACATGTTATTCCTAATGTAAACTTTATCCCAAAGGGGGCGCCTTTCTTTCAGATGAAGAAATATATTACTCCAGCCCACTGACATCACAGCAATAACAATGGTATAATAGGTAACTGATCAGCAATGTACAGTATATAACAATATTGCAATGTCTGATGAATTACAATGGGATCTCTCCCAAGACCCACTTAAAGAGATTATAAAGCCTAAAAATGTTTTACCTTATTGCATTCAACACACACAGACATACATATCTAAGACTTCATTCGATCTAGCACTATGCACATCTGCAGCTCTCCTGTCCCCTCACTTCCTGTTCTCTCGGGCTTTGCTGAGGCAATCTGTCAATCAAAGCCAGTGACAAGGGGAGCGAGACCAAGTCCCAAAGTCTATGTCAATAGATGCAGACAGCAAGGCTCGAGAGCGAGCCTGCACAAGTGCCTCCATAGAAAGTGGCTTTCTGTGGGGGCACTTGGTGGAGGGGAGGAACATCAGCAGGGGGGGTCCAAGAAGGGAAGGTTTGGAGTCACTCTGTGCAACTCTATTGCACAGAGCAGAAAAGTAGAAACTTGCTTGTTATTTTTAAAAACATGAGCATTTGCAATCAGGGCCGGTGCTAGACTATTTTACACCCTAGGCAAGACCCCCTCCCCCCCCCCAAGGAGAAAAAAAACTTCACCTGTAGTTTTACTCCACCCTCCTAGTACATATCCTCTTTTCCCTCAAATTTTCCACTCTAGCACAAATCCTCTCCCCCAAATCCTCCCTCCTAGCATAAACCCCCAAATCCCGCCTTCTAGCACAGATCCCCCTAAATCCCTCCTCCTAGCAAAACAAATTATCCTTCCCAGCACAAATCCTTCCTTCCCACTCCTCCCCCTCCTAGCACAATTCCCCCTCCCCAATCATCACCCCTCCTAACACAAATTCCCCCCAATCCACCTATCCCAGCGCAAATTTCCCCCCAATCCCCTCTTCCAACATGAATTACCCATTCATTTTAGAACTAGGCCCAACTGACCCCCCCCCCCCCCAAACCTCCCTCCTACTCCTAGCACATTTCCCCTCATTCCTTCTCCTAAGAAAATATCTCCCAACCTCCCCATTATCCCCATTACCCTCCCCAGCACAAATAGCCCCCATCCCCCCTCCTGCACAAATGATTGTTACTCTCCCCCCATGCTCCTTTCATTGTGCAGTTTCCCCTGCCTGTAAGCTCCACCCCCACTTACAGGCGGGAAACCAGATAGAGGTGCAGGTTATGCTGTGCTTTCTCTCCTGCCATTGGATCCATCATCCATACAGCAGATAACACAGGATCACTGTTGCATTGGGCTGTGCACAGTTTGATTACCCTACCCCCTATCTCCTCCAATGGCCGCTCATCTCTTGGCAGCAGGGAGCCAGTGACTGAATCAAACACTGGACATGTAAGAGTGATCCTGTGTCATCTGCTTTATGGAGGATCGCTCTACTGACAGGAGAGAAGATCACAGCCCGCACTTCTCGGCTCACTCCTGTCATTTCTCCTTTGCAGGCTTCACTGCTCCAGGCTGCTTTCCCCTTGTCCTAGCCATGATTGCGGGGCTGGGGGAGGGCACTCAGTGGCCAGGCACAGCATCCATGGAAAGACCAGTCTGGGGGGGAACCAACTGAAATCTGGGGAGAGGTGTGGCCCGCCCCAGCACCCCCCAGGATCGGGCCATGACAGAGAATAGGAAAACCAGTGGTCATGGCTGCCTAATTTTGCCTCGTAGTAGCACCGGCCTTGTTTGCTATGATCTTAAATACTAAACCCAAATCTAGCCCAAATCTTAGCTTTCTGCAGAAGGGGAGGTTTTGAACTTCTGCCAAGTTTTCATTGTATCCTTATTGAGGAGAGGGATATCCTTTTGATAATAATTTCCCTTCATGATTAATAAAGTATTCCGAATCTGAATCAATAAACAGATGCTAGGGACAGACATAGCAGCAAAAGCACATTTATTTAGTAAAGTGGGGATGGAGTAAAACATGTCAGGTTTTTATTGCACTCTGCTTTTCCTATCTCTGTGCCATTTTGAACCTCTCTATTCCATTTCTTCTCATGCTCTTTTCCTGGTGTCACTGGGACAGGATATATAGGGAACTCTCCCAACCTAATTTATGGATCTCAATATATGTCCTTTATAAAAAAAGTGTCTAAAAACAGAGCTTCCTCCTAGTTTATGGTTGATAAGAAAGATTGGAATTAATTATTTTTTATAAAATTTGATTTTTTTTTTTTTTAATGAATCTTACCTGTTAGGAGTCTCAATTCATAATCTGTCTCCTTAGCATCTTCAGTTTTTTCAAATGAAAGTTTTTCACCGTCTGCTAATTGGTAAACAAAATCAGTGTTCCTTGTTGTCGGGACAGTCCCCTCTGCAACTTTAGATGTATTTAAAAGTGTATGACTGTCATTCAGTGAAGGTGGTAATGTTCCATGATCATGTGAGGGCATGAGAACATCTTTTGTAGTAGCTTTTTTCACTACTTGGGGGGAAGATGAAGGGATATGGTCCAGAGGATGGCCAGAGGTAGAAGTTGTTACTGGAAAGAGAGATGCATCCATTACAGTAGCAGATGTCGGAGTTTGGCTATCAGAAAATAAGTTAGAATGAAAATTCCAATGTGACCAGCTTGAGGTAGGATGGCTTGTTGTATCCTTAATAGTATCTGAAGTAGGAACTGGTTGACCGGGAAATGAAGGTGAGACAGAAATACCAGAAGGAGTAGAAGACATGTGAACATAATCTTTAGAATGAACAGAGATCTTTTCTTCACCAGTTGGCAGAGGATGGATTTGTATATATGGCACAGTATTTGAATTTAGTTGATGCTGTAGAGCAGACACTGATTCTGAGTGAGAGACATGATCTGAGGGCACAGAACTAGAGAAAGGAGAAGACGGCACTGTAGTAACCAGGATTCTTCTCGTAAGCAGCTTTTGTGATAAGGACAGACGGCCAAATGTTGGAGATTTAGTGGCACTTAGTATCTTCAGTGGAACGTTGACTTGTCCAGGATCTTGTGGAGAATATTGTAGTTGCTTAGAGTTGAGGGGTTCTGAGACTTCTGTAAAATACACAAATACAACAAATGTGGAAATCTAGAGGAAGACTTTCTTTGAAGTCTGGTAAGTATAGTAAACATACCATTCTGACAATCCTGAGACTTCTGCTCACAAGGAGTACAGGAATCTTCACTCTCTTCACATTGCACATCTCCTGCCTATGGAAAGAAGATGGGACAACTGAAGCCACGTTCTCCTGAGGCAAAAAGTAATGAACATACTCTGTATTGCAAATATACTATATCTTTGCTCGCCTCATTTTTGGGATCATATAAATTGTACAGTTTCACAATATACACAGATATTTTATATTACCCATTTTATCCTTATTGTGGTGACTTAGAGATCCTGTCATCGGATTATTTATTTTAACATATTTTATAAAACTTCCCCTGTGTAGACATCCAATAGCTCAGAGACTGCTGCTGGAGGCCACCGTCTTGGATGCAAATGTCAGCAGCCCCAGCAGACTCAAATGACCCTCTATACTCCTCCTCTGGCAGCTACATAAAAAGCTTATGTAGGGAGGTGAGGGTAGGGGTGCAGGAGCTGGGCAAATAAATAGGAACTCCCAGAAGAAAAGAAGGCTGTGACAGGCAAGGGGGTAGGGGACTGTGCTAGGGAAATGACTCCTCCTGGAGTAGTCAAATGTTCTACCAAATTCAAGACACAATAAAAATGTGAATAATCAATGCTTATAGAAAGGAAGCACACTGCAAGTAAACATTTTAAATACTTTATTCTCTGTTTACCTGCAATCTTGGTGTTTGCACAAGTTGACAACAGAGTCTCTTTAATTTGGGGCTGAATTTACAGGTTAATATACAATGTGGAGCACAACAAAGCTGCTGACCTCATCAGCATTTAAATACTTCATAGGTCCTATCTATATTGTAATTTTAATCTCGCAAATAGCGTACCTATTCAATCCGAGTCTGCTGACCATTTGAGCAAGGAATTTATAGGAAATGTGTGGTTTAGAATGGAGCTGTCAGGGCTCCGGGTATGACCAGAGGTGTGTGAACTGACACAGGGAAACGCAGGCTCAAGTATGGTGTAACAATATAATTTATTAAAGGTTATACACAAATATAAACGTACAATATAACAAAACCAAACCTCCAACTGATAACGGAATGAACACAGACAAGAGCAGTCAGGGCTGGTGAGATGAAGTGGTCAGGCAGGCCGGGTCAGGAACCATCGGGCAGACAAGACACAAAGGAGCAGGCAGAAGAGTGGTCAGGAATAGCTGAGGTCAGGACAGGCGGAGTTCGTTCAGAGTCAGGATCAAAGCAGAAACAGGATCAGGCAGAAGTAGACAGGATGCAGGTACAGGGGCTCATGGGAAACATACACCAAGGCACTGACTGCAGGCCTGGCCACTCCTTAAATACACCTCCTGCAATCAGCCTCAGGTGATGACTTGATTGCAGGAGTGAGCTTCTGGCTGCTGAGAGCACCTGCTGGCCAGCCCTGGTACTGCAGCCCACATGGCAGGTGAGTCCCCACCACCAGTGGTGAGTCCATTCCTGACAGGAGCATTGTGACATGCAGTGCTGGAACCTAGGTCTAATTTTTATTTTACACACTGAAGGATCCCAGTCACGGCACCACCTGCCTGGAGTTTGCATGTTCTCCCTGTGTCTGCGTGGGTTTCCTCCAGGTACTCCAGTTTCTTCCAACGGTCCAAAGACATGCTGGTAGGTTAACTGGATCCTGTCTAAATTAGCCCTAGTTTGTTTATGTATGAATGTAAGTTAGGGACCTTAGATTGTACGCCCCTTGAGAGTTAGGGACTGATGTGAATGTATTATTATTTATACAGGACTTATATAGCGCCGACAGTTTGCTCAGCGCTTTACATTAGGAGGGAGACAGTACAGTAACAATACAGTTCAATACAAGAGGGATTAGAGGGCCCTGCTCCTTGAAGTTTACAATCTAGGAGGGAGGGGATAGTGGTAGAAGAGGTAATTAGCTGTGGGGGATGGAGTGGTAGGAAGAGTAGAGGATTCCAATATTAGCTGTGGTTGGGGTAGGCTTCCCTGAAGAGATGGGTTTTCAGAGTGCGCCTAAAAGTGAGCAGAGTAGGAGATAGCCTGATATATTGGGGTAGGGAGTTCAAGAGGATGGGTGAAACCCTTGAGAAATCCTGGAGATGAGCATGGGAGGAGGAGACAAGGGAGCTAGAGAGTAGGAGGTCTTGTGAGGAGTGGAGAGTACGGTTTGGGTGGTATTTAGAGACAAGGTCGGTGATGTAGTTAGGGGCAGAGTTATGAACGGCTTTTTACATCAGTGTTTTGAATTTTATCCGTTGGGCAATTGGAAGCCAGTGGAGGGATTGGCAGAGAGGGATGGCAGATACAGAGCATTTAGTAAGGTGAATGAGTCTGGCAGCAGCATTCATGATGGACTGGAGTGGGGATAGCCTGCGATGAGGTAGGCTGAGGAGGGAGTTACAGTAGTCAAGGCGAGATATAATAAGGGAGTGAATGAGTTCCATAGTGGTGTTCGAGGTTAGGAACAGAATGTACAATATATATGTAAAGTGCTGCGTAAATTGATGGCGCTATATAAGTACCTGTAATAAAATAAAATAAATAAATAGAATAGACATCATTTCTATTTAGGCAAAGAAAGAAAAAGGAAACCACTTACATAACAATGGCACACAACACATGGGTCAGACTTCAAGATATATGACCCTCCATTCTCCAACACATGTCCTTCAAAGGCACATTCTGGTATAGAGTGATGTAAAATAAAATTAAAATTCATTTTAAAGGTAATATTAGATGACATTTTATCTGTGAAGGTTCTGATTTATTCAGATCACAATATAAAGTAGCTAGTAATATTCACATTCACCACATTTGTCTGAACTTCTTCTGTAATGTTGAAGAATAATTTTCCCTAATGTTGAAAAGAATGTTTCGTTCCTCATCTCAGCTCTAATTAGAACTCATGAAGCTAGTTGGATGCTGTTTGATTAGTGTCAAAACATCTTTCAACATTACAGAACAAATCCATTTTAACGTGACTAACTACTTGCTATTGATAGCATCTAACATAACAGTGTACGTTATGCAATGGAACACAATTCACATTACCTGAAAATTTTTAAAAATGAAACTGCTGCAAAATAGGAAAGAAAATGACAATGGTTGAAAATGGTACCTTCACAAGTAGCACAACATTCTCCAGGAAAAATATATGGATGAGAGCAGGTAGCGGAGCAGGAGATGGCTTCACATTGCACTTCTCCATCCTGGTAACATACATGACAAGTTAATTTAATATTCTATAGTACAGTTTGCTCTTTACAACTGCATCCCAACACATGAAACAAAATTCTTTGTGCTTCTCATGCTCTACAGTACTTTCGTAAAAAAATACTTGAATCCTGCTTCTCATGCTCTATAGCAGGGCTCTATAAATGTTCTAAACAAAGGGCCAGTTTACTGTCCTTCAGACTCTAGGGGGGACAGACTGTGGCCATTGGGAGGAGAAAAGGTCCCAACGTCAGTGGAATAAACCTTTACCCTTCATTGGTGTCAGTGTGAGGAGTGGTGACCCATTGTTGGTGTCATTGGGAGAATTGTGTCCCATCTTTGGTGTCATTGTGATGAATTGTGCCCCATAATTGGTGTCAGTGAATTGTTACATTGGTCCAGCTTTGCCAATTGTAAGTATACAGTACACATTCTATACCTGGCTGATCCCAGTGTAATCAGATAAGCCAAAGCTACTACAGTGATCCTTGCTATCTTCTGGGTCCCAACTGCCCTACTGCATAGTGAAAACGGGGTTGTTCCTCAGTATAGGTGCCATTCAGAGAATCTCTTAGATTTTTTTTTTCAATGAATGCAAGGCATTCTCTAACTGAAGGAGGTAAAGAACATGATGTCACTGCCCCACATCTCTACCTCATCAAATCAGAAAACGTTTTGCATTCATTGAGGAAAACGCAAGGTTTTCTCTGATTAGTGTCAAGGACATGAAGATAGCAAGAATTACTGTAGTAGCTATGACTACTACACCGATTCTTGACTTCCATAGGGATCAGCCAGGTATAAAATACTGTTTGCACATGTACATTGGTCCATGCTGGTCCAATGTAACTATGCAAAAATATCCATATCTGGGATTCAGTTTAAACAGTAACTCTTATACTCTACATACACAATAAAAGGTTTTTAATGGACATAAAGGTCTATATCTGACTTGTTCTTCATAGATGACCTTATGCTGGAAGCTAAGAAACATCCTTATATTCTGATCCCTGTGCTGATGTGCTGAAGCTTTTTAAAAATGTAAGAGTTGCCTCTGGTGATCTGCATGCATGCTATGGAAGTGTATAGGACTGCTTTTTGAAGTGACTAATTCATTCAGAACATACCAGGAACAGAAGTAGCGTACAGAAACTGAAAGCCCTGAGCTCGTGGTACCGCTGCACCTTTTCTGCAGTTTTCTGGAAATATATAACTTAGAAAAGACAATAATGGGGTAAGTGTGATCTAAGCTTTATACTCCCCTCCCACTGTCCTTTCTAGTAGAAAATACAGAACATAAGCTGGTAATTATTGTGAGATAAATGTATTAAATAATATACAGTATATGGTTGACCTGAAGAGGATCTTTTTTGTTTCTGAGTCACTGTTTTTTTACTACAACATTTTGTACTGTAAAGCATTGTAAAGAATACCCAAACATTGATGTTTCTCTTGGGTTCTGTACTAAGTAAAATGTAACCATATTCACTAAACTCTGGGGAAAATTCCTTTGTAAAGTACAACTTCTCTTACAAAGTGAACAACCTATTTGGCTTTGGTAAATGCACCCCAAATAAGTGCATGCAACCATTAAGTGTTGAAGTCAGATTAGATAATGGACAAGACCCAAATGAATGCTTGTAGGTTTCCTATTCTTCCAGCTTTCCCTTTATTAAAGCTTACCTGGCAGGTGCACTGAGTGCAGGGCTCGCTTTCCAGTGAAAACGTCTGATGGTTTAACACTTTCCTCCCTTCATAAGTGCAGTCTGCAGTGACACAAACATTAGTATATGAAGATGTTCACAACTAAGAGAAAGACCTGTCAAGTTCTTACCTCGGCACATAGGACAACACTCTCCCTCATCATGGAAGGGGTAGGTGCAGTTGAGTGCACATTCAATGGGAGAGCAGGCCACTGTGCCCATCTGCAAAGAATAAAAATACTATCTATGAAAAATTCTAGGATCATACAGACTTCAATGGGTTACAGGCCAAGATACTGTCATTGGTCAAACAGGTGTTTTTCAAATTAGTTCCTAGAAACATATACAGCATTACTGTAGCTGAAAAATCATTAGTAAGTATGGCTCCTTACTACCCTGTAAAGGAAATCTGTATTGAGAAACAAGATGACTGCCACTCCCTAACTCTTCATTTCAAAATTCTTGTTGCTTGGCTATCATGCTGAAACAGTAGCTTCAATATTATGATCCAGTGATTTGGTACACCAATTTCTGAGATTAGTGGCCACATACTTACTTGCGAGCCAGTGACCCAAAGTATCTAATCCAGAGACAGCAAGGAAACTGGTAGTCAACAATACCAGCCTTCATATGTCTGTTCGTATAATTTACCTTTAACAGTTAAGTTTACTTTTTACAAAAAAATATAAAATAAATGCACATTTTTTGCAGGTTAAAAAATTTGCATTTATTTTTTTTATACAGGAGCCTACAAAGTATTGCATCCACGATCAGCAGATCACAGGTGCAATTTCAGGCTCATGCACATTCTCTCTCCAACTAACGGACTATGAGCATGCTGATCAGCATGCTGGTGGCCCATTAATACTACAAGTCAGTCTGCCGCAGTGTAAGATGGGACTTGTAGTTTTTTTCATTTGCAAATTCTTGTAAAAGAATGATGTGGCTGTACGGGCAGAGCCATTTTCAGAACATGACAGTGGGTGCTGGGAGAGGATCCCCCGCCCGCTGTCACCAAGAAGGGGGGATTGGGGGTGTGAGGGGATGTAGCTGAACATGTTAGACCCCAAATACAGGGGTAACATGTAACATGTTCAGAAAGTGGAATTTCTCCTTTAATATAACTTTGTTCCTACATGCCATAGTTGAATTCAATTTGTTGAGCAGATTTTGGCACAGTTGGCAGTAATTTAACATGCTGCAAGTAGTCACCAAAGATTTAATCACTTGACTTTTTTGATTTTGGCTGCTAGTATGGGCATGATAGTATACAATATATAGACATTAAGGCCAGGATTCGGATTGGATTTACAATATGTGGCTATGTCAAGGTTAGGGGTAAACAAGAAATTAATATACTTTCAAGTGTATAAATGAGTTTTGCAGGTCTTAGAAGTGTTTTCTGCTCAAAATAAAATTGTTTCATGCCTAGGGGGTAATAATTAAAAATCAATGCCAAACTGGATCAGTGCAATATGACAGTCAAATGATGACTTATTTTGTTTCCTTTGCCTATCTTTTTTAAAGTATTTTGGTCATCATTTGACCGTCACATTACACTGATCTAGTTTGGCATTGATTTTTAATTATTGCCCCTTGCGGTCTTTTTTCTCTGATCCATTTTTTGTTTTTTATTTTAAAAATTCTTGTCCCCTTGTGGTCTTTTTCCTTTCTCCGGTTTTTGACTCCTCCCACTGCTCCTTCTAATTGTTTTTTGCTGATCTGACAGCCTATTTATTTCCCTCTGCCCAAGGGGAGGGCCTGCTTGATAAAGGAGGCGAAGACTCTGAAACACGTTGCGGCCCACCCACCTGTCACTCACAGCACCTGTCAGTAACCCCGGCCATCCGTCGGGAACTCACGGAGAGATGACGCAGACTTCCATCTCCAGTGGGTCTTTCTTCATGGCTTGCAGCGATTGTCAGCTTCACTACCCTGGGGAGAGCTGTCTCTGCACACTGCACTGACCCAGGATGCTGAGTCTCTTTGAATGCAAAATGCAAAATGCAAGTGCTCTTTGAATAAAGTTCTAGTGTTTTTACTCACGCTGACCTAGCGCCCTGCTGTGTTCCTTTTTCACCCAGTGCTATCAGAATACACTAATTAGTGGCTGCAGTTGTTGATCACTAACCCTAGGTTTACACCTATGCATTTTCTGCAGCATTTTGCGGTTCTGCATTACAGTCCATTTAACATGATTTCCTTTGGGACATGTTCTCACCTGTGCGTATTCACCTGGGGTGTTTTTTGGAAAGGGTCAGGGACTTTTTTGAATGCAAAAAGTTGTGTTTTTTTTTCTATAGACTTCAATGAAAACGTAGCAGAAAAGCATGTATTGCATTTTTGCTGCGTTTTATCCAGCGTTTTTGATGAGTTTTGAACCTAGCCTTAAGGATTTTCAGCATGGCCTTTCGATATTCATCCAGTCCCTGCTAAACCAACTGAATTTCAATCAGTGAATGGCCAGATTAAATTGAGCCTACTCTTACACAAATATTGCTGAATTCTGTTAGCCTAGGGTTTCATGAAAAATTAAATCTTTTTTTTTCAATAAAAGATTTAACTACTAGATGGGCATCATCTCTTTAATGTATATTGATGTTAGAGTGCTGAAAGTTACTGCCAGTAGTAAATGCTATTACTGACTCATATAGCCCTGCAGATTTGGGAAATGCAGCAGCCAATCCAAGAAAATTGGTCTCCCAAACATTCCTTACCAGACAGATGCAGGTGAGACATGGATCTGAAGTGGATGGAAAGCTCTCATTATTTCTGTATGTTCTTCGCCCATACGAGCAACCTTCAAGATATCAGGAATCAATTATAACACAGTACTGAAAGTGCCCTAAGCACACTTTCAAGGTAGACAGCAACAAGAAGATAACTACCTAAAGTAGGGAGTGGTGTGGCATATGGGGACCTTCTACAAGAGATGGTCAGAGACTGGGGGACAAGCTACAAGAGATGGTCAAAGACTGGGGGACAAGCTACAAGAGATGGTCAGAGACTGGGGGACAAGCTACAAGAGATGGTCAGAGACTGGGGGACAAGCTACAATAGATGGTCAGAGACTGGGGGACTAGATGGGAGACTGGGGGAAGCTACAATAGATGGTCAGAGACTGGGGGACAAGCTACAAGAGATGGTCAGAGATTGGGGGACAAGCTACAAGAGATGGTCAGAGACTGGGGGACAAGCTACAAGAGATGGTCAGAGACTGGGGGACAAGCTACAAGAGATGGTCAGAGACTGGGGGACAAGCTACAAGAGATGGTCAGAGACTGGGGGACAAGCTACAAGAGATGGTCAGAGACTGGGGGACAAGCTACAAGAGATGGGCAGAGACTGGGGGACATGCTACAAGAGATGGTCAGATTGGTCTCTCATCTGTATTCTACCTCCAGAACACACATCACTCCCCAATATCCATACCAGCAGTGAGGTACTGTACCTCTTTAGTATACAGAGCTCTCTAGCCAGGTTTACACCTACAATACTGCATTTTATGTGAATTAACCCACCAGTGGCAAGTCTCCATTGTATGTGCTTATTCCTCTGAATGATCAGCAGGAGAAGAAGCATTTACCCCTCAGTTCCCTATCTTATAAGAGTTAACCTCTCACTCTCAGTGACCTGTCTGCAGACAGTATATATAATGTGACCTGCCTTCCTATGTGTGCTTTAACCATTTATTACCTGTCAACAGAATAAAGGTATTAAACTCTTAGTACCCAGCCCCAGACCTCCAGCTCAGGCTTAGCAGTACCCAACTCAGAGTCAGCACCCACCCATTCCTCTTTGTATAGAGTCTTCACTGCTGTTCAGTCCTCACTCCCCAAGCAACTGAGGCAAGTATATTAACTTTTCAGCATGCACTACCCAGGTTAACACCTGGGTCCATGATGGTCCGACTCACTCATTTCAGTCTGTCCAGCTGGCCACTGCTGCCTGCAGACAGGGGTCAGTCTGTCAGTCACACAAGGCCCTGCTCCAAGTCTGGCACCAGCCGCTCGGCTACTGGGTGTTTTAGTGGCTCGTGTGATGTGGAGGGAAATGTGCCATAATGTCACCACGCTAGAGCATAAACCATAGCCTCTGTCAGACCCGCCCGCCCCCCCGGTGACATCAGCCAAACACACTCAGATCATGGTCTTGGGTTGCTCGGGAACTGCGCATGCAACCTGAGCCATCGCCCTTTTCACTGGCACCTGTTATGGGTATTTACGGGCAGGAAGTGCCTGGTTTTTACTGATTGTCTGTTGGCAACACTGCTGGAAGGAACAGGCTTTTCTATTCTATGGCTGCTTTCTAAAGAAAATGAACTTAGGGGGCCAGAGGAAGGTCATTATTTCTGAGTGTAGCCACCATGCCATAAGCAGGAGTGTCTCATTAAATTAAGTCAACGTAACTGCAGTTACCTGCTGAGCAGTCAGGGCAGCATTGTCCAGGCACAACGATGGGATGGGGACAAGTCTCCACGCAGTCTGTTTTCTTACACACAATGGTGCTGTCTGCCTAAATAAAACAATATAAGATATAGTTATCAAATATTGTGAGCTTTAACAAAACTTGTAATAGGTTAATGATAACTGTGTGACTACTACAGGACAGTAAGTGTTGGGAGTAAGACGATAATATAGGCCTGAAAAGTGCAGGTACTGTATGCTAGTAGCAAGGGAAAGCACACATAATTATTTAAAATGCACAATCACATTATTAACACATTTAATATGAATAAAAACTATAATGGTTTGGGGTCAATTGAATGTTTAGTAAAGAAGAATTCTAGGTAAGGAGGATTTTACATTTTGTTTTCACGTTTGATTAGTATAGCTTGGACCTATATAACAATGCAATTACCATACCTGTAGGATCACCCTAGAAGCTGAGAATCACTGTAGTACACACAGCTGCTCCAGTGATCACCATTAGCTTTTCGGTAATGTGTCAAGCAGCTGCCCTGCTGCATCCAATCAGAGAATGTTTTGCATCCATTGGCAAAATGCAAACCATTCACTTAAATAAAAGTGTTAAGATTTCTTTTTTTTAAATTAACAAAATGAAAAGTAATGAACAGTAGAGAAATACAAATCAAAGTATTATTTGGTGTGACCACCCTTCGCCTCCAAACAGCATCATTTCTTCTAGGTATACTTGCACACAGTTTTTGAAAACATTCGGCAGGTAGGTTGATCCAAACATCTTGGAGGACTAACCATGATCTTCTGTGGTTGTAGGCTGCCTCAAATCTTTCTGTCTCTTCATGTAATCCCAAATAGACTCGAAGATGTTAAGATCAGGGTTCTGTGGGGGCCAGATCATCACTTCCAGGACTCCTTGTTCTTCTTTATGCTGAAGTTAGTTCTTAATAACATTAGCTGTATGTTTGGGGTCATTGTCCTGCTGCAGAATAAATTTGCATTCAATTACAGGCCTCCCTGATGGTGTGGCGTGAAGGATAGGTATCTGCCTGTATTTTTTCAGCATTGAGGACACCATTGATCCTGACCAAATCTCCAACTCCATTTGCAGAAATGCAGCCCCAAACTTGCAAGGAACCTCCGCCATACTTCCCTGTTGCCTGCAGACACTCATTATTGTACCACTCTCCATCCCTTCGGTTAACAAACTGCCTTTTGCTACAGCCAAATATTTCAGCTTTTGACTCATCAGTCCAGAGCACCTGCTGCCATTTTTGTGCGCCCTAGGTCCTACGTTTTCATGCATAGTTGATTGTCTTGGCCTTGTTTCCATGTTGGAGGTATGGCTTTTTGGTCATCATTCTTCCATGCCGACCACTTCTGGCCAGACTTCTCCAGGCAGTAGATAGTTGTACCTGGGCCCCACTATTTTCTGCCTGTTCTGTGCTGATGGCACTGCTGGACATTTTACAACATCGAAGGGAAGTAAGCATGATATGTCTTTCATCTGCTACATTAAGTTTCCTTGGCTGACCACCGCATCTACGGTCCTCAACATTGCTAGTGTCTTTGTGTCTTCAAAAGAGCTTGAACAGAACATCTTGAAACCCCAGTCTGCTTTGAAATCTTTGTCTGGCAGAGACCCTGCTGATGCAGCAGAACTACCTTGTGTCTTTTTGCTGTGCTCAGTCTTACCATGGTGTATGACCTGTGACATAAAACGTTCTTCCACAACCTCACCTTGGTAGCAGAGTTTGGCTGTTCCTCACCTAGTTTTAAGCCTCCTACACAGCTGTTTCTGTTTCCACTAATGAATGCGTTTCAGCCTACATATGAAATTGATGATCATTAGCATCTGCTTGGTATAAATGGTTAATCGTACAACTGACTATAATCCTACAAAATCCATGACTTTGTGGAAGTGTACAAAATGTGCAAGTGTCTGAATTGATGCTGGTTTGAAACCAAGAGTGGTCACAGCAATTATTGATTTGATTTCAATTTTTCTTATGTTCGCTAACTTAGCATTTTGTGAATTGGTAAAAATAAGCAAAATATATTTTTGAAAGCATTCTTACTTTACAGCATCTTTTCACACCTGCTTAAAACTTTTGCACAGTACTATATAAATACAGTGGGGATTGAAAGTAAAAATTTGTAATAATGTGCATAAAGAAGCCAAGGAAAGATGGAAAAATCTCCAAAAGGCATCAAATTACAGATTTGACATTCTTATAATATGTCAACAAAAGTTAGATTTTTTTTTCCATCATTTACACTTTCAAAATAACAGAAAACAAAAAAATGGCCTCTGCAAAAGTTTGGGCACCCAGCAGAATTTATAGCATGCACTGCCCCCTTTGCCAAGCTGAGACCTGCCAGTGTCATGGATTGTATATATACAGTGGGGATCGAAAGTTTGGGCACCCCAGCTAAAAATTTGTATTAATGTGCATAAAGAAGCCAAGGAAAGATGGAAAAATCTCCAAAAGGCATCAAATTACAGATTAGACATTCTTATAATATGTCAACAAAAGTTAGATTTTATTTCCATCATTTACACTTTCAAAATAACAGAAAACAAAAAAATGGCGTCTGCAAAAGTTTGGGCACCCTGCAAAGTTAATATCTTGTACTGCCCCCTTTGGCAAGTATCACAGCTTGTAAACGCTTTTTGTAGCCAGCCAAGAGTCTTTCAATTCTTGTTTGAGGTATCTTTGCCCATTCTTCCTTAGAAAAGTCTTCCAGTTCTTTGAGATTTCTGGGCTGTCTGTCACGCACTGCTCTTTTAAGGTCTATCCATAGATTTTCAATTATGTTGAGGTCAGGAGATTGTGAAGGCCATGGCAAAACCTTCAGTTTACGCCTCTTCATGTAATCCCCCGTGGATTTCGAGGTGTGTTTAGGATCATTATCCATTTGTAGAAGCCATCCTCTCTTTAACTTCAGCTTTTTCACAGATGGCATCAAGTTACCATCCAAAATTTGCTGAAATTTTATTGAATCCGTTTTTCCTTCTACTCGTGAGATGTTCCCAGTGCCACTGGCTGCAACACAACCCCAAAGAATGATTGATCCAACCCCATGCTTAACAGTTGGACCGAGGTTCTTTTCATTAAATTCTGTGCCCCTTCTTCTCCAAACGTACCTTTGCTCATTCCGGCCCAAAAGTTCAATTTTAACCTCATCGGTCCACAGAACTTGTTTCCAAAATGCATCAGGCTTGTCTATATGTTCATTTGCAAAGTTCAAACGATGATTTTTGTGGTGAGGACGTAGAAGAGGTTTTCTTCTGATGACTCTTCCATGAAGACCATATTTGTACAAGTATCTCTTTATAGTGGAATAGTGTACCACAACTCCAGTGTCTGCCAGATCTTTCTGGAGGGATCGTGCAGTCAAACGTGGGTTTTGAATTGTTTTTCTCACAATCCTGCGAGCTGTTCTGTCTGATATTTTTCTTGGTCTTCCAGATCTTGCTTTAACTTCCACTGTTCCTGATGACTGCCATTTCTTAATTACATTCCGAACAGAGGATATTGACATCTGAAAACGCTTTGCTATCTTTTTATAGCCTTCTCCAGCTTTGTGAGCGTCAACTATTTTCAGTTTCAGTTTTCTAGACAACTGCTTAGAAGAACCCATGGTGCTGATTGTTGGGGCAAGGTCAGATGAGTCTGGGCATTTAAAACCTTTGAGATTGACATCACCTGGTCTTCCCAGACGATGATTGAGAACAATCCATGACACTGGCAGGTCTCAGCTTGGCAAAGGGGGCAGTGCATGCTATAAATTCTGCAGGGTGCCCAAACTTTTGCAGACACCATTTTTTTTTGTTTTCTGTTATTTTGAAAGTGTAAATGATGGAAATAAAATCTAACTTTTGTTGACATATTATAAGAATGTCTAATCTGTAATTTGATGCCTTTTGGAGATTTTTCCATCTTTCCTTGGCTTCTTTATGCACATTAATACACATTTTTAGCTGGGGTGCCCAAACTTTCGATCCCCACTGTATATATATATATATGCATAGTTACATTGATCTAAGCTGGTCTAATGTATCTATGTAAAAATATCAACACCCGTAATGCTTCCTTAAGTGTATAAGATCCTAAACTGATGTTTTATATTTCTTTATTGGTTTTTACTGCAGTTAAATATTAAGTATATGATAAAGTATTTTCAAAGCATCGTGGGTTTTCTGAAGAGATAACATAGGAGACACGGTAATACTTCTGATGGAGGCAATCGGAAGTTGGAAGAAATTACTGCTCTGATACATTTGCATGTGTGTGTACATTTTGTTAGTCCTTAGATATAATGTCTGCATTGTTTTTCTTTTTTAAATAAGTAAATACAGAAAAATACTTGTTGAACTTGGTGGCCATGCAGTATCCTTGTCACTTTATCTGATTTAAAATTAAATCTATAATTTATTCTAGAATCAACATTGCTTAGCTTCTCCTATGTCCAATGGTTTGGGATACAGATGGTCTTGTAATTGAGTAATGTTGTGCTAAAGGTATACAGTATCTCCACACACACAATTCTTGCATCATAATGCTTCTGATATATTCCAGATAGCTCAAGTCGTATTAGTTTTAAATTGAAGTTGTATGCTTTATGAGATTGCTTATTGGATTTCCTTGTTATATGTATCACAACATTTTTCTTGTACGTACGATTTCCTTGTCATGTCATTGCGATTACTGGCCTGTATACAATGCTTTATGTCAATAATAGAGTTATTTGAGTAAAAAAAAAATCTCAATGTCCTTCCAAGCTGTCTGTGGTAAACTATAAATCCCCCAATGTAATGGACATGAAGAGAGAAGGATGTGCTTTTAATTCAAATCAAGATGGGTGACCATGTTACATCTCTGTGAATACAGTGCAGTGATTGACAGTTGTCACTCAAAGAACAAGAAGGGTGTTACTGGCAAAATCACCAGGTGAAAATGAAGGAAAACAAGCTGGAAAATATACGGCAAAATATTTAGTGACTGGTAAGCTGCAATTAAATTCAAGTTTTGGTTTTGGGTTTAGATACACCTTAATATTTATATTAATAGAAAAGATCAATCATGACTTGTTCTCTTTAGATTAGATAGGTATATTTTTGAAGCATGAATTATACCTGACAAATGCAGATTGAACAGGGATCCCCAGGAGACCAAATCTGACCAACTGGGATCTCAATTCCATTGTCATCAAATGGACATCCTAGAATGTGGAAGCAACAAAAAGCATTTTAAACCAAATATTCTGTATAGATCAACTCTACCATAGATTTTCAGTTTTTGGTGAAGCAGCACAGGTTTTATTCCTCTATCAGCTCTTTAGAGCTTTTCTGTAGACCTAGCAGTCATCTATTCACCACACCCAGCTGGATGATAGCTTCTGAGACTAACCTGTCTTTGTTCTCCGTGTATTCTTATGAAGGGTATACCACATTACCAAAGATTTGGGGATAGCTGACCATCACTTCTATATTTATTTATTATTTATTTCAGGTACTTATATAGTGCCATCAATTTATGCAGCGCTTTACATATACAGGCATACCTCGGCTTACGAATTTAATTCGTTCTGCAGGACTTTTTGTATTGCGAAAAATTCGTAAACCGAAACGCGGTTTCCCATAGGAATGCATTGAAAACCAATTAATCCGTTCCGGAGGTCAGAAAAAAGTTTAAAAAAAAAAATCTTTTATCTGTTCAAAACTGTTTATAAAGTGCACTTTAAAGGCATAAATACTGTACAGGGACATGCAGGGCTGGACTGACCATTCGTGCACTCGGCACTGCCCGAGGGCCCGGGGTCAGTAGGGAGCATTTGAGGCTTTTTTGAGTGTGGGCAAGGACACAGGGGCCCCATGATCCCCTATTGCCCGGGGGCCCCATGAGTTGTCAGTCTGCCCCTGGGGACATGATTAAAAATTAGTTTGTAAATGCATTGAAAACCAATTAATCTGTTCCAGAAGTCAGAAAAAAGTCAAAAAAATTTATATCTGTTCAAAACTAAGTCTTTATAAAGTGCACTTTAAAGGCATAAAGGGACATGATTAAAAAAAAATTCATAAATGTATTGAAAACCAATTAATCCGTTCCGGAGGTCATAAAAAAAAGGAAAAGAAAAGTCTTATCTGTTCAAAACTCTTTTATAAATTGCGATTTAAAGGCATAATACTGTACAGGGACATGATTAAAAGAAATTTGTAAATGCACTGAAAACCAATTAATCTGTTCGTATTGCGAAACGTCCGATCATGTAGGCCCTCTACAAAATAATCTAGAGTGGGTGACTGGGGACAAAGAGAAGGCAAATTTATTAAATATCTTCTTCAGCTCTGTGTATACAAAGGAGCATGGGGGAACTCTTGTCCATAATGGGCATGGTATTGACACAGCTCCAGATGATCCATATTGGCTCACAATTATATGATCCAAAAATATTTAGACAGAATAAAGGTGAATAAAGCACCTGAACCAGATGGCATACACCCACGGGTCCTTAAAGAATTGAGCTCTGTCATTTCAAAGCCATTGTTTCTAATTTTTAGGGACTCTTTAATGACTGGCACAGTACCACTGGATTGGCGTAAGGCCAATGTGGTGCCAATATTTAAAAAGAGATCAAAATGTGCAAATGAGGTTTAATGTTGATAAATGTAAGGTTATGCACTTGGGGGCTAAGAATATGCATGCATCATACATACTGGGGGGGGGGGGGGTACAACTGGGGGAATCAATGGTGGAGAAGGATCTGGGGGTTCTGGTAGATCACAAGCATAAAATGCAATGCCAAGCTGAGGTTTCTAAAGTGAGCAAAATCCTCTCTTGTATAGACTCCAGAGACCTCATCTGGAATATGCAGTTCAGTTTTGGACACCAATTCACAAAAATAAAATTGGGGAACTGGAGAAAGTACAGAGAAGGGCAACCAAACTGATAAGAGGCATGGAGGAGATCAGCTATGAGGAAAGATTAGAGGAACTGAATTTATTCTCTCTTGAGAAGAGGAGATTAAGGGGGGATATGATCAACATGTATAAATACATCAGTGGTTCATATAGTGAACTCGGTGTAGAGTTATTCACCCTGAGGTCATCACAGAGGACAAGGGGGCACTCTTTACATCTGGAGGAAAAGAAATTTGATCTCCAAACACGGAAAGGTTTCTTCACAGTGAGAGCTGTGAAAATGTGGAATAGACTCCCTCAAGAGTTGGTTCTGGCCAGCTCAGTGGATTGCTTCAAAAAAGGCCTGGATTCTTTCTTAGATACACAGAACATAACTGGATACTAACATTTATAGGTAAAGTTGATCCAGGGAATATCCAATTGCCTCTTGGGGATCAGGAAGGAATTTTGTTTCCCAGCAGGAGCAAATTGGATCATGCTTTACTGGGTTTTTTTTTGCCTTCCTCTGGATCAACTGTGGGTATAGGATTATAACTTTTTTTTTTGGATGGAGTTTTGTCTTTTTTCAGCCAGACTAACTATGTAACTATGTGTCAGGACCGGAGCTGTGGAACGGACAGGCAGGCCTAATGGCAGGGTCATGCACCGACTGACGACAACCACCACCCACAGACCGGAGTCCCTCAGGGCGCGGAGTCTAAGTCCCAGGCTGCCCTTCACCAGGGCCCCTGATGGTGGGGATAGACTTGAAGCAGCCAGGGACCAGGTCGCAGCCCCCGAGACACCCCAGCTGCGGTAATGGCCGCCGCCAATGGCGTATAGCTGGTAGGAACCAGAAGACAATAGCGTAGTCAGGCAGGCTGGGTCGATAACAACAGGACAGACAGTACAGAACGGTAGACAAGTATAACAGGTCACAAGCCAGGTTCAGCAACGGGAGGTCAGATAAAGGGATAACGCAGAGAATAGTCTAGTCCAGCAATGGGCAAACTACGGCCCGCGGGCCGTATACGGCCCGGCGGACCTTTTATTCCGGCCCGAAGAGCGTGGCAAACATTGCTTGTCAGGATGTGTGTAGGCGGGGCAGCGTGAGGCGCGGGGCAGCGTGAGGCAGGGCAGCAGGGGAGCTAGGCTCCTCTCACAGTCCGCCCTGATGACCGGAACGGCGCGGGAACACGGCGAGAGGAACGCGTGGAGCAAAGGTAAGTGAATTGACACAATATGGGGAATGAATTACTATAGGGGGGATGAATTACTATAGGGGGGATGAATTACTATATGGGGGATGAATTACTATATGGGGGATGAATTACTATGGGGGGGTGAATTACTATGGGGGATGAATTACTATATGAATGATGAATTACTATGGGGGATGAATTACTATGGGGGATGAATTACTATATGGGGGATGAATTACTATGGGGGATGAATTACTATATGGGGGGATGAATTACTATGGGGGATGAATTACTATGGGGGATGAATTACTATATGGGGGATTAATTACTATGGGGGATGAATTACTATGGAGGATGAATTACTATATGGGGGATGAATTACTATGGAGGATGAATTACTATGGGGGATGAATTACTATATGGGGGATGAATTACTATATGGGGGATGAATTACTATGGGGATGAATTACTATGGGGGATGAATTACTATATGGGGGATGAATTACTATATGGGGGATGAATTACTATATGGGGGATTAATTACTATGGGGGATGAATTACTATATGGGGGATGAATTACTATGGGGGTGAATTACTATGGGGGATGAATTACTATGGGGGATGAATTACTATGGGGGATGAATTACTATATGGGGGATTAATTACTATGCTTACTATGGGGGAATATTACTATACTTACTATGGATGACACATACACATCATTCATCTACTCTTGGTCCGGCCCCCGGGTCCAATATATGAACCCATTGCGGCCCTCAAGTCAAAAAGTTTGCCCACCCCTGGTCTAGTCAAAAGCCGAGTCAGTTTTCAGGAGAGCCACGAGAGTATAAACAGAGCTTGTTGCAACACGAACATACAAGACACGAATGCAAAGGGCACGTGAGGACAACAGGCTTATATGTGATCAACCACACCCCTCTGGGGGATGGGCCGCAGAGGTCTGAAGGCATAAAAGACTCCCACCATGCTCTGCAGAAATCCAAGATGGATGCCAGCACATGGAGCAGCATAACCTCTGGGAAAAGGTAGGACCTTGACACTATGGGGTTTATTTACTAAAGCTGAAGAGTGCAAAATCAGACTCCCTTCTGCATAGAAACCAATCAGCTTCTAACCTCAGCTTGTTCAATGAAGCTTTGGCAATGAAACCTGGAAGCTGATTGGTTTCTATGCAGAAGGGAGTCTGACTTCGCACTCTCCAGCTTTAGTAAATAAACCCCTATGTAACCGGCAACTGTATTTACCGGTGATCTTCTGTGTCATTGGACACAGCTGATCACATGGTAAAAGGCCGCCGTGATTGGCCATTTACCATATGACGTGATCAGCTGTGTCCATGGGGGCACACAGGGGTTCGTGTTCTGGAAAGACATCCATGGAAGTCGTCCCAGAACCAGACAACTGCGCTGTAGCCATCCTTTGACTACAGCATGGTTGGGAACTGATTAAAGTAAAAGTCCTTGTCCTTTCTTCTGCCTCCCCTTTGTATCAATCCTGTCAGAAACTATCACCTACAGCACCTACCTCCTTGCCTACTTGTGCACCAACTAGGACCCAGTGAACACGCAAAAGAGTCCTCACTGCACTTACAAGGACATTGACTGCCTGGGCAAAGCTTCCAGATTTTTTTTTTGTCAAAGCTCAATTGAATAAGTTAAGTTAGAAGCAGATTGGCTACCATGTACAGCTGCACCAGATTTTGCACTCTCTGGATTTAGTAAATCAACCCCAGTGTGAGGTGGGTGGCAAAACCGCAACTCAACCATCTGGTTTTACCCCTGGCTGCACGTCTGAAAACATCTAAGATGATTCACAATTTAAGAGAAAGTTGTTACAATTGCAATAGGTATAACAAAGCCAGGATAGATACAATGTCACGCACCTGTATGTGGTGGTGGTGGTTGCTGACACTTGAAGCAGCATTGTCCAGCTTCCAGCACCCAGTCCTCTCTAGGGCACTCAAGATTAGGACATGGTAGAAAAGAGCATTCTACGACTCCATTCTAAAAAAAGCAAGATGAGTGCACAATGCAGAGAATTTAGATAACTTCCACTGGGGGAACCTCCACACGACTATAGAAAAGAAAAGCAGAGCCAATCTAAGTGTAGCATCAAAGCGTTATTTATTTGGAAACAACAAAATGGCAACTCACAATGTAATGGAGTTATGTAACACTGCTGCAACAAGCCGGTCCAGTCCCACTGATCCAGCTGTGGTGGATACCGAAAGGAGCTCCTGGCAGTGCTGGTGGCTATCAGAGGAAGTGCCAACGCTTTGATGCTACACTTAGATTGGCGCTGCTCTTCTTTTCTGTTTGTTCCAGTGCAGAGTCCCTTCTAGCTCTTCAGCAGCAGCCATTGAGTCAAGCATACTGACACCATGTGAACTTTTAAAAACTTTTTCTTTTTTGCCTTAAACCACTGAATCCACTTGGACTCCATTTCTATCAGTGCACCAGACATTACCTTTCCTATTACATGACTATAAGATATCACATTGTATGACTGCCAAATGTCATGATTTATAAAATGAGAAGCTAGAATCTTAGAAGTGTATAACAATATTTACAACAAAAAAGAAAAATAATTTGGAGCCCTACAGACCTGACACAGACATGATGTGCATCCATTTTCATCCCGGCTAAATGTGGCACCATGAGGATAAATATTACCTTGGAATTCACAGCCATCTGGAGGTAAACAGCGTTAATGATATGTTCAGAGACAGGTAGGCAAAATAATAACAAGAAAAACAAGAATATCTAATCAGAAAACAAGACCTGATTGGCTTATCCAAGTAACCGCATGTTTCAAAGAGTATACTATGTGCTACAGCGATTAACCTGCAGTCCGCATGTACCTTCACTACCAATTACCAAACTGAATTATTGAAAGTTGTAGAAAAATGCAGAGACGGTCATTTGAAATCTAACCAATCTTCACTTGGATTGAACCACAGAAACTCTTATTAGTTGTAATTTAGCCCTGGTTCACACTGAATGCGATTTAAGTGTTGCAATTTGGTCCTGTTTAAAGCACAACTCTCAGATTGCAGGTGCGATTGCAGTGCCATTTACCTTATAGTCTATGAGAGTTAAAAAAGTAATGCAGGAAGTATGTTTCAAATCGCGCTACTTGAAATCACACCTATTAGGACAGTGCCATAGAAATTTGCGACATGTCACACCTGAAGTCACACGGGTGTGAACCAGGGCTTAGTCCTAATTGGTTCCATATTTTTGCCTTTCTCTAATAATAGATGTTACAAAATAAGGAAAAGCCAAAACAAGTATAAAGCTGAATAAATGTTCTATGTAGATTGACCTGTAAAACAGTGCTGGCAGCACCTGCCTACACTGCTCTTGAATTCCCCCATACCCATTCCATCAATTTAAACATGAATATTTGGCAAAGTTATTGTTTGTGCCTATGTGTTCTATGATGGAAGTATCTAACAGTGGCTGGATCAAACATGTTCATCTGACTATCAAAGAATATATAAAAGCGAGCGCATATACATAAGAAGCAAATGTTCTCGGTAGCTGCTAGCACTATAAGGCATGGACAACAATCACAATAGACGTTTCAAAATATATAAAAGTGCAGCGCTGTGACATATACGAATAAATATGAAAAAAATTATATTCAATTCATAAAGTAATTAGTGCACAATATATAAAGTGCTAATTAGTGCAGTATATGTGCGTTAAATGAATAAATAAATGTCCATATCAATCCTTTTGATTTCAATCAAAAAGGTAAAAAAGATAATTCAGCAGAGGTAGTCTTCAATTAAGACACAATATATCCTTGTGAACAGTTGTGAATATATATCTTTAAAGGTAATCCACCACTTCTGATGGGTGTGCACTCACCAGAACTTTGATGTATACAAGCATTGGTTACAATCTGTCACATCTGGGTGCAGGAGTAGAGGAACAGTTTAAGGGTTATTAATCCAGCATCCTCACAGTACCGGTGGTGCGTGTCTCTTTAATCTGGGAAAGATTGCAAATAGCTAGACCCCTTATTACATAGAGGTCAGCTGCGCTTATCCCACATATATGGGTATCAGGGTAGACAGCCACATTCAGGATACTCTCCTCAGACCTTCCAAAATGCACCATATGCTTCCCTCCATCTTTAATGATGAAATGATGAAATGTCCAGATATGGACATTTATTTGTGAAATTAAAGGAATGCGCTAAATGAACATATCACTAGATAAATAAAGAAAAAATAAGTGAAAAGGTGTTGATAAATAAATAAATAAATGTCCAAAAAATATATATGTCCAAAAAATATATATGTCCCAAAAATATTTTGCAAATCAAATAGTGTCCACACCGTGTCAAATCCACCACCAAAGAAGTTGGATCACTCACCAGAACTCAATGCTGATCAACAATTGGACCAGCAAAAACACTTTTGCTCTGGGAGCAGTAGATATCAATTAAGTTTTTGGATGCAATACTCTGCAAACAAGAGAGAATAAGCGCTGGGTCTACGAGTAGAGGATCCGTGGTAGACGGTGGTGTGCCTATATACTGTTGCTCGAATCAATGCCCATGAAACTGGTGTCGGTGTAGATACCTTAAAATGTGAGTGTGATTTATACATTAAAGCTTTTAAATAATTTGAAGCTTGCTGCACTATGATCTCTTCTTTTTACTTTTGAACATGGTTCCAATGATATGGAGATATACGATTTAGAGATGATATATACCTCTTGAAATTATCCATAGCTTTGAATGGTGGCGATTCATCCTATAGGATATCGGCTGTTTGCAGAGTATTGCATCCAAGAACTTAATTGATATCTACTGCTCCCAGAGCAAAAGTGTTTTTGCTGGTCCAATTGTTGATCAGCATTGAGTTCTGGTGAGTGATCCAACTTCTTTGGTGGTGGATTTGACACGGTGTGGACACTATTTGATTTGCAAAATATTTTTTGGAGATATATATTTTTGGGACATATATACTTTTTGGTGCATGGATGTGCATTGAGGACCCATAGGGAATAACTGGGCACAGGTACCATAACATTCGGCAACATATAAAGAAACACAAACACACACACACGTGTGTAATTATGCCCTAAAATCAAGTAGATCTTTTTAAGTTGGTTTATAACGGGCTCAGATTCTGACAAAGAGACCTAATTTTCTGAAAACTTGGCTATCCACCACATCTGTGACATTTTTTGAAATTGTTACTTAGCCAATGGAGACTAATTGGTTCTGATTGAAAACTATAGTAGGTTTTGGTAATTTTATTTTCATTTCATTCAATAACAGAATTTTTTTTCATCTCTATAGTATCTTTATTGTACTCATAAGCATTCCATATGGGATGCAGTGTGTGCTGTGCATGATGGCGTGTCTAATAAGAAATGATTGACTGCTCCTGTAAAATCAAGATGGCATCATCTCTACTTGGAGAGGAGGGAGGGTTCCCTCCTCAGAGTCATTTAGCTGTATGTTTGTATAACACAAGATTCTGATATGCAAGTCTGTTGTCAAAGCAAAGCAATGACCCAATATTTGATACCCTAGACTACCAGACTTGCACCTGCAAATGGCTAAATATTAAATATGTATATGCAACATTTCATATTTACCTGACTTAAAAGTAATACATATTAAAGCAGTATTGAAATAAAATTTTAAAAAACATTGACAGGTAAAGTTTTTATAACAGAAAAGACCCTAGTGGTCTCCTTTGTCATAAATGCCTCTCCCGGCCTGTCGGTGGTAATGTAATCTGAGCCTCGCATGCGCAGCTCATTGTACATTTATGGCACCTGCTCTTTGCTGGTGATTTGACGGGAGTGACAACATGGCAGCCCAGCCATTCAAGCGACCGGAGAGAATGAACCCGGAAGGAAGACCAGATAAAGATAGAAGCCCCCTGGACCAGCTGGAGTGGTGACAGCACAGCACTAGAGGGCTGGTTTGACAGGAAAGTCTGAATAATGTGCTAATAAGCGGTGCATACTAGCACAATATGGCATAAACCTCCTGGGGGCCCATTAAAAAGAAAAAATTAAGCAGAGTTTAATACTACTTTAAGACATGCACTTTATTAAAATCCTGAACATTATACATAATTAAAAAAAATGCGTATTCTCTTAAAACTTTATAGCTGAAATATGAAACCTGGAGTTGTGCCATTTAGTAAATTAAAGGAAACCTCTTTTAATTGAAAAAATATAACAGACCTAGATGATACAGATCAGCATTGTAATGTATTGTTGTTAAAATGATCTTTCCATTTCAATCTTCAGATAGCTAAGATTCTTTCAAACTGACAAACATTTCAGATATCAATCCCTTCGAGCTCTTACATCCCAGAGGCATTCTGTAAACTGCTTGTGAAATCCCCCATAATCTCATTTGGTAGGCTCATTTCCTTTTCAGAAAGTCTGCCCAAAGCTTAATGAAAAATGCCAGGCATTCACAGTAAAAGGGGTTTCACTTTTGGTGACATGCTTATTAGGTCCATTGGACAGCTAAAAGAATGTCAGCTGTGTGACTCCTTCTTATCCCAACACTGAGATTGCTTATGTGGTGACAGTGAAGACAGGCCTGCCAATTTGTAGTCAGTTTGATAAAAGAACAATGCAAACGTCAATATTTTTAGAATAGAAATGGGTAATAATCTGTAATAACATTTTTAAAAAATCCTTGTAATCTATATAGTTCACCTACAAGGATGTTTTTTCCTCGTCAAAAGTGGAGTTCTAATCCAATATTTAATTTTAAACAAATGTTTCCAATTTGTAAGAAACTTTATGACTCCTTCGGCGTATCATATCTTAGGTGACGATTAGAGGCATATTTGAAGCTCACCCTTAACAGTTTGCGTTTTTGATTGGAGCTTTCTGGAAGAGAAAAACTAATCTCTCCTAAACTCATCTAAACTGTACAAAAACACTTTATCTAGCATTTTTTGGGGTTTTTTTTCTGCCAAAGGCATTGCATTTTTTAGACC